TACTTTTTAATGGATTACGCAATACTTTGCGGAACTCTTATTACGCGGACTTTACTCGCGAACGGAACCGGAACAAAAGACCTCGTTGCCATCCGGGCAACGATATTTATACCGTCGGTCGCTTTTCCCCTTCTCCGCGTTTATTGCGCACATAACTTTTAACGCACGCTTCTTGGTTCTCGGATTGGCCGGTTCGCCGAACCAATCCGGCGCTTTACCCAATGTTTGGGCTCGTCTCACTAAATAACGTTCCCAAAGCTATCAAAGTTCGACCATCTCAATGTCGAACTACTAAAATTATAATTAATTCCTTTTATCTGTCTTGTCCATACTTTATATCGCTTTACCTGGCTATTTTTATTGTTTCGCGTGGATAAATCTTTAAAACCAAACTCATTTTTGCAATAACTTGACTCTTTAACCTTTTGATTATCGGTATGATGACAACTTTGGCTCGGAGCCTTTCGCCGCTTGTTCTATTTCTTAAAATTAACTAAAATAATAATATTTTATGGATCACATTGTCCAAATAACGCTCTGTTTCCTTGTTCCAGATAATCACGTGACCGGTCAATTCATCCGGTAGTCGGATGATACATCTTCGCTAATCAAATCTCAAAACAACTATGTACGCTGATTTTTGCATACAAATAAAATAAAATTTATGGATTACAATCATTAATTAATGTCATATTTTTTTGTTATAGGTGATCACGTGACTTATGGATTGGCCCTACTCTCGGAACCCTCTCCTTTGATCCGTAATTGTAAAATAACTATGTATGCTTAACCTATCATTAAAATAAATGCTAACGCATGGATTATCTTTATTTTTTATCGGCCGCCCGAATTGTCATCACTATTTTCCCATTATATGTATGATTATTATATTCTATTCCAGGTAAAGGATTTTTAATTACAGGGAACGATATTTGTTGACTTTTACATTTTTATTTTATTTATTTTATTTGCGCACATTCATTCATTCGTCCATTCATTCATACTTTACATGCTAAACTAAAATGTTCCTAATCTTAATATTATTACAAACGATGCTCTAAACTTTGTACACCAACTCAAAAGCCTATCAAAATCTTATAAAATACACTGAATATTATCTAAAATTAACGAGAAATAATAAAATAAAATAAAGCTTTACATACTGTATAAAATACAATAGCCAAACAACGAACCCACAATCTATAGTCAAAACAAAATATATCAAATTGATAATATAAAATCGTAAAATGAATTTATATAAAAAAAAAATATATAAAATAATAATCTTATATATGGTATGTTCACTCCTCCGTTTCCATCGGTAGCGGCGGGGTTACCGGCTCAAATCTCGGGCTGTCCGGCTCGATCTCCTCCTCGGCCGCCACTTCCGGAACTGCTGTCGGGTGGTATGATATTGCCTCTCGATCCTCCATCCATCTGCGGACCACTTCGAGCGCTTGCTCCGCCCTCTCCGTTGACGTCTCCGCAGTCGTGACGTGAATTGTAGACGGCTGCAATATTGCAGACGGATACACTCAGACAACTGCACTGGCAGTTTGTCTTTTTCTCGTTCCATCCTCATTGGCGGTTTTTCACATCTCATTTTCCTGGCGGAAGCCTGTAAAACTCATAGGACCATCTGGCCCCTTGAGTCCAAGCGGTGGGTTCTGTCCCATGTTTTAGAGAGGGGTCCTGATGAAATACTCACCGGTAGTCCCGGGGCCTCTCTCACAGATCTTG